CCACCTGCATTTTCTGACTCCCAAGGTGCTCTGCCGATTGCCCTGCAACCATGTGCACCTGAGTAGGAGTATGCGCCTGTGGCTCTCTGGACCAGCCAGGGGCATATTCTGGTACCTGGAGGACGGGGCGCCTGGAGCACTGGGCACTGGAGCACTCAGCACCTGGAGCACGAGGCGCCCGGAGCACTTGAACCTGAAGCACTGTGTCTGGAGCACTGGAGCACTCAGCACCTGGAGCACGGGGCGCCTGGAGCACTTGAACCTGAAGCACTGTGTTTGGAGCACTGGGCACTGGAGCACTCAGCACCTGGAGCACGGGGCGCCCGGAGCACTTGAACCTGAAGCACTGTGTCTGGAGCACTGGAGCACTCAGCACCTGGAGCACGGGGCGCCTGGAGCACTTGAACCTGAAGCACTGTGTCTGGAGCACTGGGCACTGGAGCACTCAGCACCTGGAGCACGAGGCGCCTGGAGCACTTGAACCTGAAGCACTGTGTCTGGAGCACTGGGCACTGGAGCACTCAGCACCTGGAGCACGAGGCGCCCGGAGCACTTGAACCTGAAGCACTGTGTTTGGAGCACTGGGCACTGGAGCACTCAGCACCTGGAGTACTCCATCCTTGAAGGCTGAGCCTGAACAAAGCCAGAGTGGGCGCAGTGCTCAGTCCCGTGAGCCAGGGGGCGCTCTCTCCATGGGTGGGCGGCAGCTCCCCTCCCAGTGGGGGTCGGGGAGGCTCAGCTCTCCCTGGCGACCCATGGTCCCCGTGGCCCCATCTCGGGCGGGCAGCAGTGCCTGCCGTCAAGGCCCGGTGGTGCCTCTGAGGGGCCCGATCCTGCCTGATCCTGCCCGCCTGACCCTCCCGGGCCCCTCCAAGCTCTCGGCCTGGCCTCGGCCCCCATGGGGGGCCCCCACGGAAGCAGAGCAGCTCCAAGACCACCTTCCTGGCTATCCCGGGCCGTGTCAGCCTCTGCTCCCCGCCCCCGACACCAGGCTCACAGGCCCGGGGCCTCCTCCGAGGGGGTCAGCCTGGAGGAGATGCCTCACATCTCCTGAGTCCACGGCAAGAGGGCCTGAGGGACGGGGCCCAGCAGGTGTTTCCCTGCTCCCACCTCCGGGGCCTGCCTGCCCCGGCCAGAGGGAAGCTCAGGCGACGGGCTGGATGGGGCGGACTGCTGACCACCATGTCCCCAAGGTGCTGGCCACCTTGCACTCACTGCGGTGCTGAGACACGGGCTCAGCTGCTGCCTCTTCACCTCGTTTTCTATCTAACTGGCTCCAGACAAGCAGGTATTTGCTGGGTTAACCGGACGCTTGTCCCAAAGAGGCATCTTTCGGCGACTCAGTTCCTGGACACGCAGGCCGTGATGGAGAAAAGGCCCCAAGCACTGCGCACGCTCCTTCCAGAGTGGCAGTGAGACTCAGGGTCACGGAGCAGGGGTCAGTTTCCCCAGTCTGTGCGCAGCAGCCCACAGCAGCCCATGCCGAGACTGGGCTCCAGGTGTGCAGTGAGCCGCGGGGGGCGGCAGTGGCATCCCGGATCTGGAGCCTAGACGTGGCCACTCACCTGTGCCGGAGACCAGGAGGAGTGCCCGCAGCAGGGGGTCACCTGCCTGTGTCATCGGGAGCGGCCTCCTGCGGCTGCCCCACTCAGCACTGCACCAATGGGCTCAGGCAAGGGGGAGGCTCGGCTGGGAGCCGGCACAGCCGGGCCAGCTCTGGGCCAGCATCCAGGCTAGCAGCGGGGCTACAGGCAGTGCAGGGGCTGAGCGAAGGGCTGGGGGCCCACGACGGAGCTTATTCCAAGTCCTGCACTGTGGACTGAGGCTCACGAGAGAGAGAGGGCTGGGGTCTTGCTTGGGAGAGAGAACCACATCAGCTATACACGACCTGCCGCTCTGTGGGGCCTGGGACTGGGAGCCCCCAGCTCTGGGCACTTCCGGGCCCACAGCCCTCCAGCACTGATGTCCAGGCACAGGCCAGCCCGTCCCCTGAAACCCGCCTGCTGCAGGAATAGGCAGGACCTGCCCCCATGCACAGAGCTGCTCTGACCTGCAAGACGCCACCCAGGAGCTGCGGCAGAGCAGGACTGAGGGTGCCCGAGAATGCAGTGACCCAGCTTGCCCTCATCCTACGGACGGTACAGCTCCCAGCAGGGGCCTCCGAGGGCCACGGGACATGCTCCTCTGAACCTCAGGGGTCTCCAAGTCCCCTCACCCTGGGAGAAAGGGCTGGAGGCCACTAGGGGCACCCCTGGGCCCACACACCTGACAGATGCACGGCGGGGGTGGTCCCCTGCAGTGACTGTCCATTCACTGACTGTCACCCTGGTAGTGACCGCCCATGCAGTGACCATCCCCCAGCAATGACTGTCCCCTGTACTGTCCCCCAGGCCCCTTCCATGACTGTCCCCTACTACCTGGCCATGTGTGCAACGCACACATCAAACCAAGCCCCTGAGGTCTCCTGAGAGAAAATGCAGTGAAGATTAACGTTCACAGAGTTTGACTTTATTTTACCTTAAATATATACTTGCATTTTCAAAAGTTTCAATACAGTCAATGATTTAAAAAAAAATCAGAGAAACCAACACAATTTTCACGCTTCAAATGATTCACATATTTTCTTTTGCAAAGTCGTTTGTAATAGATTTCTTCATATTCACATTAATAAGTAATCATTTGTATCTTTTATCTCTATAAATTAACCTGTCTAAGGAAAATTTGGGGGGAAGGGGCACATCAGTGGTAGTTTAAAAAAATACTGAATTTCGGAAGCAGAAATTTTGTCACCGAATCTACCCCTTCCTAGAGAGAGCAGCGAGGGGCATGTGGCGGGTGGCCCTGGCTGGGCTGGGGTCTGGGGCTGCGCACCTGAACTGGCCCTCGCCACCTCTGCCGGGAAAGAAGGGGTGTCACTGTCCGAGCCTGGAAGCCAGAGCCAGCGCTGGTCTGGGGGAGGGTCCCAGGCCCCCCGCCGCCCGCCCCCACAAGGCCCTGAGGCTGGGATGGTGCTGCACAGGCAGGTGCCCGCGGAGGAGGCAGGTGGGCGCAGCTGCCACCAAGACTTCCTGGCACATGGGCACAGCCAGGTTGGTGGGGGAGGCCCTGTGGGCACTGCCGGCCACTAGCAAAACCCTCTCCCACACGCCGGACGGCCCAGAACTGGACATCCGCCAAGAGGCTCCAAGCGACTTCACTTCTGTCATTCGACTCCCGCTAGTCTCCGGAGCGAGGGCACCAGGGAGGGAGGCCACGGCTGACCGGTTCTCAATGAGCCAGCCCCCACGGCAGGTGCCGGGCAGCCATCGCGGGCCGAGGGCCACTTTCCTGCTGCAGCAGGACACGGGCCTATCTTGGGCAGCCGATCTGGTCCCACTTCGATGACGCCCCTGGCGCTACCAGGTTGGCACTGGGTGCCGCAGGACCAGAGACCGGTCAGTGACTGGATGGTTGTCCAGCAGCCACAGCGAGGTGGACGCAGGGCGGCCGGCCTCAGCCTCTCCCGACTGCTTCTCACGTGGCCGAGCAGGCTGCAGTGCAAACCCCCCGCCCGAGAGCCAGACCATGCCCCCTCCTCCCTCCTCTGGGGCCAGGAGGTTCTGGGCTGGCTGGGCAGTGGCGGCCCCTTCAGAAGACACATGGACACCAAGGTCCAGAGCGCCGGGAGGCTGAGACCCGGCCCCGGCCGGCCCCAGACCTGGTCCTGGTCCCGTCTGAGGGCGGCCCAGCTCCCCTGCACCCGCCATTCCCCAAGTGACCGAGGCACGTGGCTGACCGGTAGTGGAGCCTCTGCATTTGATTCAATCCCTTGTGACAAATACGGGGCCTTGTGGGAGGCACCCACCGTTCCTGCTCGGGGCCACGGCACTCAGCGTCAGCAGTGAGTCTCCGCTGCCCGACACAGCGTTGCCACAGAAAGTCTCTCGACGTGGAAGGGACTCACACAGGCGCCGCAGACCCCGTGTCCCCACAGTGAGCACGGCTCCGGCAGGTCTGCACACGGCCCTCGGGACACAGGCACCCGTGTGTGGATGCGGCGGGGGCTCCCCCAAGTGCTGCCCGCTCTCCCCACTGGCCACGGGGGAGGCCGCTCAGTTGTGTCCGCCATGAAGATTCCGCTGCCCTCCCGAGGGGCATGGCCACCTACGCACTAACCGGGTGTCCCCCTCTCTCTAGAACCGGCCAGGAGGGCTGCCGCTGTCCAGGGCCTGGGGTGCTTGCTCTCAGTGCTCTCCAGGGTAGCCTGTGTTGGTCCTTGGTGCAGTGATCAGAGGCCGCAGAGAGGGGCCCCCTGAGAACAGCCCCCAGGGCCCAGCCGCTGGAAGAGGCACACAGCCCGGAGGGGGAGCGTGAGGGGGCTTAGAGGAAAGTGAACGACTCCTGAGCTGGGCTGGAGGCGCCCTGACTCCCACCTGGATACCCCCCCTCTGGCAGCCGTCTCCACACGACACAGCACCCCGGTACAAGATCCTGAAAGTGCAGCAGTAGGAATTAAGAGTTTGCAACCGCGTCGTACAAACGTTACCGTTTATTGTACAGCTCTGATGGAGGCCGGCGCACGGCTGCCTCGAGGCTCAGGCGCGCCGGACGCTCTCTGTAACGTGTCCCAATTGTTGGGCTACAGACCACACTAGAACCACTGTCCACATAGCAGCTACAGACATTTAAATTAAGGAAAAAAAAGGTTCGTACTGACAGGTACTTGCACACGGAAGCATGCGATCCCTTCCCAACAGAACGCCACATTTGCCTGCGTGGAAATAACTCACTTATCCATAGGAAACAAATCTGCTTAAAAAAAAACTCACATAGCCGGGTGTCCTGTGCGGTACAAAGCGTCCCGTACCGGCCGCCGTCCTCATCCTGCGGCCGCAGCAACAAAGTGGGCGCACCGCCCACTGCCCGGGGTCACCGTGCCTGTGTCCCCCCGCCGGCCCAGACCGTGTGCGAAGTTCAAGGCCCGAGAGCATGGCCGCTGGCTGGCAGGGGTTGCATGCACGCGCACACAGCGTGGCAGCGTCCCCACGGACACTCAAGGTCACGGTGCAGACGTGCCGGGCAGGCTGCCGAGGCCAGCCGCAGCCACAGGACAAGTGCGTTTCTGCGGGGCCCACTGGAGGGAGGCCCCCGCCGGCAGCTCGGCCTGGCCACACTTCACAGTGGCCAGCCACGGGACAGACGTTGGCCATACTAGTTAATGCCAATCTCTTTGTTATCCTCGATGAAGCGGGCAAAGGGCCGGCTGGCCCCCGTCTCAGAACCTGCTTTGTCCAGGCTGGCCAGGGGTGGGCTCCCGCCGGCGCGTGACTTGTCCAAGCCAGCAGTCAGTGAGCCCAGGGCAGGGAGAGCGCTGCCCCCCAGACTCACGGGCAGCTGGGGGAGGCCCCCGTTCTGGATGACGGAGATCTCGTTGTTCTTCATGGCCAGCCCGTTGGTGATGGCGGCGGCGTACTGGTTCCAGAAGCTGGGGTCTGCGTTCATGGCACGCACCGCCAGGTCCTTCTGCAGCATCTCCGAGAACCGGAGGGCGTCCCCGCCCAGCAGCGCCATGGGGTTCTCCACAGACAGGCGGCGGCCACGGCGGGCAGGGGCGTTGTTCCACATGTGCGTGCCCATGTGTACCTGCACGAGAGAGGGACACGGCAGGTGAGCCAGACATGGCGGCCAGCCCACGCCGCAGGCGCTCAGCCTCTGAGAGAGGGACACGGCAGGTGAGTGGACACAGTGGCCAGCCCATGCCGCATGCGCTCAGCCTCTGCACGAGAGCTGGACACGGCAGGTGAGCCAGACACGACAGCCAGTCCATGCCGCATGCGCTCAGCCTCTGCATGAGAGCTGGACACGGCAGGTGAGCTGGACACAAGGGCCAGCCCAGCCCCACATGAGCTCTGAGAAATGGACACGGCAGGAGACGAGGCACAGCGGCCAGCCCACGCCAGCATGCGCTCAGCCTCTGAGAGACGGACGTGGCAGGTGACCAGACACAGTGGCCAGCCCACGCTGCATGCGCTCAGCCTCTGCACGAGAGCTGGACACAGCAGGTGAGCCGGACATAGCAGCCAGCCCACATTGCCATGCGCTCAGTCTCTGAGAGCTGGACACAGCAGGTGACCAGACACGGCGACTCAGCCTCTGCGTGAAAGCTGGACACGGCAGGTAAGCCGGACACAGTGGCCAGCCCACCCCCACATGCGCTCAGAGAAATGGATGCGGCAGGTGACTAGGCACAGTGGCGACCCCATGCCGCATGCGCTCAGCCTCGGGCGGGCCCTGGGAGCGTCTCTCCAGGAAGCCAAAGTCGGGCTGTCCCTGGCGGTTTCGACGTGCTCCCTCCCCTGCAGAGGCAAAGCAGCCACCACGGACCGTTTGTGCCTGAGGGCACATGCACCGGAGGAAGGTCCACAAGGCCCCAGCGCTGAGGGGCCACAGTGCCGGGCCCCACCCAAGGCTCAGCTGCCCCTCGACCCTGCATGCTCTGCTCAGGAGAGCACAGTCCCTGCACACGCCCCCCGGGGAGCACCGCACGGGCCCCGGTCTCAGGATCGTGCGCAAGCACTGGGTCGGCTCTCCCCACATTAACCCAGAGCCAAGTGTGGACCGGTCCCTGACCCCTCAGCACACAGCCAGAGGCAGCAGATGTCCACTGCGAGGAAGTACACGTGCCTGCACAGTGCAGAGTGCACACGCTGCACACACGGGCCCCTGTGCAAACACACAGACACCTGTGCAGATGTGCAGACACACACCTGGGCAGGCGTGCAAACACATACACACACCTGGGGAAGCGTGCAGACAACACCCAAGCACCCAAGCAGTGTGCAGACACAACACACATGCACCCAGGCAGGTGTACAAACACACACATGCAATCGGCAGACTCACAACAAGGCTCACATACATGGAACATGAACATACGTGGCACACAGCAGACACATGGCAAAGACTCGCCACATAGTACATGTGAACAGCACCCATGCATGCACAGCACACACGTAACACACCCGGCATACATGTAGGACGCATGCTGCAGTACACACATACACCACATAGGGTACATATACACCACACATAGTACACATCCCTCACACACCACAGCACACACAGTAGACATGCGTACACCGAACACGTGGTAACAACACAAATGCAGTAATACACAGTCCTACGTGGTATGTTCATAGATAACTCCCACAGAACACACACACTTCACTGTACACGTACAGCACATGCATCACACACAGAATATTCACTCTCCATACACCACACTCACACAGCACCTCCCAAGGACACACAGGACACACAGAGCACACCCCCCTAGAGCACACACCCCCAGGGCACACACACAGCACACACATCCCACACAGTACCCGCCAAACACAGCACACCCCCTACAGCACACACCCCCTATAGCACACACTTATACAGCACACACCCACAGCAACCCCACACACAACACATTCACAAACAGCACACTCCCTACAGCACACACTCACACAGCACACACATCCCACACAGCACAACACTCACACACCCCACACAGCACACCCCAAACACAGCATACCGCCTCCTCCACACCCCCACACGCTCACAGCACACTCTCTCTCCACCCCCCGCCCCGCAGCGGAGCAGCCCGCGGAGGCGCCGCTCACCTTGAGGTTCCCCTTGGTGGTGAAGGCCCTGCCGCAGATGGTGCAGCCGAACGGCTTCTCCCCGGTGTGGGTGCGCTCGTGGATCTGCAGGGCGCTGGCCGACGAGAAGGTCTTCCCGCACGACTGGCAGTTGTGCTGCTTGGGGGCGCGGCGCGGCGGGGGCGCCAGCATGGGCGCCAGCCCGGGGCTCATCCCGGCCTGCGGCCCCGCGGGCACCTGCACGCCCGCGGGCAGCGGCGGGCCCTCGCCCAGCGCCAGGGGCTTGCCGTGCCCGTTCACTTCCATTTTGACGGCGGCGGGCGCCGCGCTGCCGAGCAGGCTAGGGGCGCTCTGGCCGGGACCTAGGGCAAAGCCGAGGTGAGGGGCCTGAGCAGCCTTCCACCTGTGGGTGAGCAGGTGCTGCTTCAGATTCCCCAGGGTGGAGCAGCCGCGCCTGCACACCGCGCAGACGAACGGCCGCTCCCGGGTGTGGCTACGCAGGTGAATCTGCAGCGCGCTCCTGCACGCGAAGGGCTTGCCACAGACCCCGCACACGCTGCGCGCGCACTTACCCCGCTCCCGGCTCAGGAACAGCAGGCCAAACGGGGGCTCCTCCTTGACGGACGCCCGGCCCGGGTGCACGGCGGTCAGGTCCAGCGCGCCTCCGTTCTCGGGCCCGGGAGCGGGGCTGTCCGGCCGCTCGGTCTTGAGCGGCAGGTCCGGCGGCTCCCCCTGGCCCAGGGCCGGGGACTTGGACGGCAGGCTCTCGCCGTTGCTGTGGGCGGGGGATGGGGCCTGCGTGGAGGACGAGGACTCGGACAGGGCCGGGCTGCCCGCGCTGCGGCTCTCCAGGTCGCCGACGGCCGACGACGAGGAGTCGTTGCTCAGCCGGTCGCTGTCGCCCGAGCCGTTCTCCACGGACTTGAGGGCGCGCAGCTGCGGGCAGTTCATCACCGAGTCCATCATCTTCATCTGGTTCTCCAGGGCCGCGATGCTGGAGATGACCGAGGGGGGCGAGGGCGGGCAGGAGCCGGCGGCGAAGGCCAGGAGCGGCTTGGACGGGTCGGCGCCCGCCTCCCGGGCCTCGGCGTCCTCCTCCATGGAGTTCTCGTCCAGGTCCTCATCGAAGCCGCCCAGGCCCTCGGCCGCCTTGTCGTCGAAGGCGAGCTCGGCGTCCATGGCGTCCTGGAGGCCGTCGGGCAGCGGCGTGTTGGGGATCTGGCCGCCCATGTGCATGCGGATGTGCTGCTGCAGCACCACGGCGTTGGTGAACTTCTTCTGGCAGATGGGGCAGGAGTGCTGCACGCGCAGGGGCGGCTTGGCGCGGTGCACCCCGAAGTGCGTCTTCAGGTTGCCCTTGGTGGTGAAGGCACGCCCGCAGATCTTGCACTTGAAGGGCCGCTCGCCCGTGTGCGTGCGGTAGTGCATCTTGAGCGCGCTCTGGCAGCTCAGCACGCGGTGGCAGATGACGCACTGGTTGGGGTCCGTCATCTTCTTGTCGATGTTCTCCACCAGCTGCTGCAGCTTCGAGGTCTCCGAGGTCTGCATGGAGTCCAGCAGCCCACCAAAGGGGAACTTGGCCTTGAAGGGCTCGGAGCCCGCGGGCGGGACGGGGCTGCAGAGGCCCGGGGCCTGGCCACCCTCCGCGAGGGTGGCGAGGGCGCCGCCCGCCGGCCCGTCGCCGGCTCTGGCGCAGCTGCCGGCCAGGCCCGGGGGCTCTGCCTTGGGCAGCGAGGGCCCGCCGAGCCCCGGCTGCGGGAGGCCTGGCTGCGGGGACTCAGCGGGCCCGGCCAGGCCCGACTCGGAGCTGTTGAGGCCGGGGGACAGGGAGGGGCACTCGCTGGAGGCGGGAGAGGGCCGCTGCGGGGAGCGGTTGGCCGGGGTGAGGCTGGGCGAGTCGGAGAAGCCGCTGGTCCCCGGCACGGCGGGCGGGAGCTGCAGTCCCGCCGACGTGGGCACCGTGGGCAGGGCCGGCTTGCTGTCCAGCCAGGTGGTCACGGGCTTCTCCGGGGGCAGCGACATGCCATAGGGAATGCCGGAGCAGGTGGGCACGTTGTCGAGGTACTCGGGGACGGGGTAGGGGTTCATCTGGATGTGCGGGTACTTCTCCTTGTGCCGCTGGAAGTGCACCTTGAGGTTGCCCTTGGTGGAGAAGCGGTTGCCGCAGACGTTGCACTTGAAGGGCCGCTCGCCCGTGTGGGAGCGCAGGTGGATCTGCAGGGCGCTGTCGCTGCCGAACACCTTGGCGCAGAAGCGGCACTTGTGCTTGAAGAAGGGGTCCTCGGCGCTGGCCTTGGGCTCGAACACCGACACGTTCGGGGGCTTGCCCTTGCGGTGCTTCAGGAGTGCCGCCAGCGGGTCCAGCGCGTTAGCCGTGGCGGCGATGCTGACCAGCGGGTTGGGGAAGATGACGCTGCTGGCCGAGGTCTGAGGTAGCAGGGGCGCGGGCCCCAGGGCGGGGGGCGTGGCGGCGCCGGGCGGGGGTGCGGGGCCCGGGGCCGCGGGTGCGGCGGGCGCCCCCAGGGAGGCCGCGGGGGGCGCGGTGCCGGGCTCGGGGCCCCCACCCGGGGCCTGCGGGGTCCCGGGCCCGGCCGGGGCCGGGGGTGGCGGGCCCGGCGGCGCGGGCCCCTCGAAGGCGGCAGCGGGGGCCGCGGGCGCGGCGGCGGGGGGCGGGCCCGGGGGGCGCCCCGGGGGCGCGCGGCGGGGGCCCGCCCGAGGGGGCGGCGGCCAGGCCCTGCAGCGGGCCGGGCGCGGGCGCGGGCCGGGGTCCCGGGCGGTGCATGAGCGCCACCTGACTGCGGATCTGCTCGATGAGCTGCAGCTGGTGGATCTGCTGCTGCTGCAGCGCCAGCAGCTGCTCCAGGATGAGCGGCAGCGCGCCCGCCGCCCCCGGGCCCCCCCGCGCCCGCCGCGCCCGCCACGCGCGCCGGCTGCGAGAACTGCGCCACGGCCACCTTGGTGCTCAGCAGCGTCTCCAGCGTCACGTTGGTGCTGGGCAGGCGGTAGGCGGCCGCGGGGCCCGGCTCGGCGGGCGCGGGGGCCGCGGGGGGCGCGGGGCCCGGCTCCCCGGGGGGCGCCACCTCCATGGGCTCCGCGTCCGGCCCCGCGCTCGCCGCGCGCGCCTCGCCACCCGCGCTGCCCTCGGCCGGCGCCGGCTCCTCGGCCGCCTCGCCGTCGGCCGGCTCCCCGGGCGAGCTGGCCGGGGAAGGTTCCGGAAAGTCTTCGGCGGGCGGCGCGGGCTCATCCTCGTGCACGATGAGCACCAGCGGGTTCTTGGCGCAGCTGCGCTTGTGCTGCAGGAAGTCGGCCCACTTGAAGAACTCGGCGCAGCACTGCGCGCACACGCTGGTCTCCTCGCTGCCGCTGCGGCTGTCCGTGCCGCTGTCCGCCTCGTCCGCCGCCTCCCCGGGGCCCGCGGCTGCGCCTGCGGCTGGGAAGGAGAGCACAGGGGTCAGCGCGCGCGGACACGCCCGCCCGGCCCGCGCCCCGCGGCCGGGAAGGAGAGCCCCGGGGTGAGCGCGTGGACACGCCCGGCCCGCGCCCCGCGGCTGGGAAGGAGAGCCCAGGGGTCAGCGCGAGCGGACACGCCCGGCCCGCGCCCCGGCCGCCGGCGCATCACTTCCCGAGCGCCATCCATCAAATTATGAGGCCCCATCGACGGCGGAGGCTGCCTCTTAATGAAATTCCATACGAGCCATCGATTTCCAATATTTTCATACAACCCGCAGCCACCCTGTCTGCCGGGTACAAAGCCGCTCATTAGGATTCCCCTTTACCGACGGGCCTCCTCATTTCCAGCAAAATTAGAGATGCCTTTGCCAGTTCGCTTAACATTGCTAAAGTCATCCGTAACCTTTCAAGCCGCGTCAGCACCTGACAGCGCGGGCCCGGCCACCGGCATCTATTATCTGCCCCGGCCGATAGGCGCTCCGGGGACGCCCCGGCCGTCCGGCCAGGGTCCCCGCCAGGGTCCCGGCCTGCGTCCCGGCCGGCACCGGGGAGTCGCCCGCGCCGGGGACCACAGGGCCGCGCGCCACGCACGCACCCACCCACCCGCCTCCCGCACCCCAGGGCTTGCCAAGGAGCCTCCGCACCCGAGCCGGGGCCTGGAGGAATCATGTTTTATACAATTCATTGGCTCTGTCAGATGCAATATTTCTTGGCAAAATGAACCGAAATTATATGTTATTGTTATTAGCCAAGAGAGTTCGGCAGTTTGTTAACAAACCAGAAATTATATATTTAAAGTTCATTTATGTTGACATGTTTAACATGAGAATGTTGCAGTCGGCACACTTTTTGTACCTATTTTCATCTATTCTCATAGAAAGACTTAGCAAATTATACGCTTGTGCCGTAGTGGAAAACCCTCTAATTGGTTACACATGTTTAATTACTGTTGTAGGCAGCTACTTCCTGACTTCCCTAACCCTCTTATGCCGAATAACAACCCTGTTTAATGAACAATTCTAATTCACACCTGATCAAATAAATAGCCGGCCAGGAGCACGCTCCCTCTTATTTGGGGGCGGCTGCATGTCTCCCAGTGGCCGGGGGCCCCATGGGCCTGGACGCTCCCAGTGGGAACCGCGCCTGGTCCAGCTGCAGATGGGGTGCCGGAGCCAGCAGGCAGAGCCGAGTGGGGACAAAACGTCCAAGCTGGGGGTCCCTGCAAGTGCTGGATATAGGCACCTCCCCCACACACCACCTCCTTGTCTGCGGCAGATTTTGCTAATTTTTCTTTCAGGGTTTCAAGGAGAGAATCGTTCTGCTCTGACTTCAGTCAAGAAAGCTAACTTAAAAAAATGAGAGAAAAAAGGTAAGATCATTTAGTGCCTCGACTGGAGAGGAAAGTAAAAATATTTTTCGGGGCTGGTCTGCCGCTCTCCATGAGGCCATTATTTCCAGGTAATTTATACATGCCTTTAAAAAATTATTAGCAGTGTTCAATTAGCATTTTCTTAACTGGCTAAACCATTTGAAGGGGAAAAGAAGTTAGAGCTTGCAGCCCATAAAGCCCTGCTAGACTTTTAAACTAAATTCAGTTCTGAAGATCAGCCTGCAAGAAGTCTCATTACTGTATGAAGGAAGGAATGTAATAGGTATCTGTAATGAGGTTGAGTATCGCTGGAAGCAAAGACACACTTGATTTATACCACAGATAGGCACATTAACAAAATAAATACTCAGAGAACTTTGCTCAATGTATGCAAAATCTAATTTTAAACCTGCTAAGGTCATGGAACAGGGTAAAAAAAAAAAGGCCTAAGATTTTCAGGTAAATAATTCTTTTAATGATTGATAAGAAATAGGATGATCTCAAATCCTACTCACATACTCTAAAAATGAACACAAAAATGCAAAGGAAACTCATTTTAAATGTCTTTGTAATAATTGAATGTTCTGAGGACCCCCCCACATATATATATATATATTTTTAAAAAGCCTAAACAGCCATTAAAAAGTTTGCCTTCATTAAGCATTCAAGTTGGAATCAATGTTATTCTATACCAAACTATCAAAGCCATGAGAACTGCACAGAAGGGAATCGTTTCTGAAGTTCGTTGGGTTTCAAGCTGTCGTGACAATGACTGGCCACAAGCTTCACAAAGAGTTTTAATATTTTTAAGGAGAAAAATGCCAAGAATAAAATTTCATGAGACGTTAAACTTTCTCTTATGTGGTATAAAAAGAAAAATCACTTGGTATATGCGTTTACAACTTTACATGATTAGGCAGCATATATCTTACTCAAAGAACACTATTTGGAACATTCTAGGGCAAATTTACTGAGAAAATGTTTAAAATTAGGCTGTTTTCTGGACCATTTAAAGTGCATCCAATGTTGGAAGTATTAATTTACTTAACTGTAAATAAATCAGATCTTTACAAACGAACATTTTCCAGATTGTCTTTGTAACAAACTCTGGCATGTGAAATGGAGACTGTATGCATTTTATTCTGGGCTTTCCTCAAACATCTATGCAACCCAAACAAATCTCTCTTTACAGATAGGTCTGTACAAGCCCATTGGTTTTTCATGTGCCAAGTGTTTTTAGAGTTCAGCTCCAAATCCCGCAGATGGACACATCCCCATGACCTTCCCCTTTCCTTCTACACAGGTTTCTGAAGCTGAAGAATCTGAGTGTGGAATCTGTGAGCATTTTTGGTCATTTTATGTAATGCAATTATAGTGATAATTACCCTCACACAAGGAAGGTTCTCTGTTGGAGCAAAACCACCTTTCACTTATATTCCTTTAAAATCGAGGAAGGAAATTGTAAAAACATCATTCTGACCCTGTGAATCTGCTGACTTGGTACAAAACAGATACTCCTTGCATTTCACGAAGTTTCACAATTTGCTTCGTGACGAAAACATCTTTTAAAAAGCCACAATTACCAGTGAGGGTTAACGTGGTACAAAACAGGTAAGCCCTGTATTTCACGAAGTTTCACAATAAATTTGCCTTGTGATGAAAACATTTTTAAAAGCCATTATTAGTGGGGAGGAATTTCTTTAGTATAATTCACATTTCTTTGGGTATAAACTTAAAATCTCCGCCCGTAATTTTTTCAAAGCAGTTTGTGGAAAATGCCACGGCCTGGCCACTAAATTGCTACTCTCATTTGCTCTTGCTCTGAAGGTGCCACTACCAGAATCTGAACGTGCTCAGCATCCCAGGGAATGCAGAAGCACACACAGTCCTCGGAGAGTCTTAGAGGATCAATGCAAAGAGAGAATGAGAAAACCAGGCCCTGCTGCACTATTTCACCCGGGAGTGAGAAATCTCACTGCAGAGATTAAGGACGTTCTTAGATGACAAAACTCTGTGGCCCTCGGAGGAGGCCGGCCAAAGCAGCCTGTGTGCCTGGGTGGGGTTTCCCAGTGAAGAGGGACCCTCCCCCAGGACAGCGGGAAGACGCGGCAGGAGGCTCCACTCGGCCCAGAGCCCTGGCGGCCCCATCATCCCCTTCAAGACTCTGGGCTCATCTGGCGTTATTTCCCCTTTAAAAAATGCGTTCTGGCCCAAGAAGCCCCTGGGGTGGCCTGCGCAGCAGCTCCCAATTGTATCTTGTAACTTCCAACGCTCTCTCCTGCCAGAGTCTTTCAGGCCGGTGTCATGTCATGTCGGACTCGAAAGTGTTCAACCGTCTTCACGTGAAATTTACATTTGAAGCTGGCCGGTCCCGGAGACAGGCCCCATCAGACCAGCCCTTACGACAGCTGATGTTTTGTATTCCAAGGCAATGGCACACGGACGGGAGCTTCTGCCACCACGGCAGAAAGTACCGATTCGAGAAATTAATTCTGTGCAAATGGAAATGATTTCTTGGGCCGGTGGTGAAAGCAAGCGCTGTGACCCTGGTGGATGTCACAGGCGTTTCCACAGACTGACTTTTCAGCGAAGAAGACAGTCCGCACGGGAGCGGTGAGGTTGTGGCGGGGCAGTCCGCGCCACGTCACACCTCCCCTCTGAGGGGGACCAGGCACGGCAGCAGCTGCCCAGGGAGGCCACTGCTGCCCACGCAGGTCAGCGTCAGTGCGAGGGCGGCCTCCGAAGGAGCCAGGAGCAAACACCTCGCCGTCTCTCCTGAGGTTTCTGCCTCAGCCCCGCTCAGCCACCACGGACGCTTGGCTCTGAGTTTCTCCACCGCAGCTGGGGGTCAGGGGCTCCCACTCGGCTCCCATGGACAGTACAGGGCATGGGGACACACTGGGCCTCTGCCTGGGGACCCCTCTGTGGAAAGCTCCTGCCCCTGGCCCCGTCACCGGCACACAGCTGACGTGGTGGGGCCTGCTGCGCTCCCACAGAAGCTGGGGACCTGCATGCGGGGCGCTGTGGCCACCGATGGGTGGGCGCAGGGGCCAGGACAGGGCGCCCCCGTGCCTCCTTCCTACCCCGAAGGGTCTGGAAAGCACGTCTAAGTTTGCCTTCGTGGTGAAGAGACATTTACTTTCCAGCCGAGCCCTTCCTTTCAGCTCCTGGGGAGAGCTCGAAATCGGAGGGCCGGGAGGCCCACACAGCCCCTCCGCCGGGAGACCCCCGCCGGGTGGAACAATGTGGAAGAAATGCCAGCCAGCGGCCCGTGTCCTGGTGCCCGCGGCCTGCACGGGTGTGAACGGTGGGGGGCACTCTTACCACGCTCATCTGCCCTGACCGCACGCCGGCTCCCGCCACGCGGCCCACAACTCAAATTGGTTAAGTGACGACCACCTGTGGCACGGTCCCCTGACGTCCCCACAGAAACCGGAGGCCGCTCTGCATCGGCATGGCAGGGGTGGGAGGCACGTGCTCCCCCTGGACGGCTGCGTCCTGGGTGCCTGCATGCCCGTGTGCCTGGGGCCGGCTCGGTCCGAGCCGCGGACGTGGGTTGTGCAGGCCTGTGGCCCTCCACAGCGACCAGGCCCCGGAGTGTAGGTCAGGCTGCTAGCAGGAGACGAGGCGCATGGGGCACGCTCTGGGTGGCGCGGGAGACGGAGTCGGCCGGCCCAGGCAGGTCTGTGTGGGTCACTGGGGCTGAGACGCTTCTCAGGTGCAGGAAACCTGAGGCCCGGGAAGGCACACACGGCAGGGTCTGCGGCCCATCACTGGTCACTGCACAGGAAACATCAGCTCCAGCCTGGCCCGGTGCCTTCGCCACCGCAGTGCCACATCCCTGCCAGGAGCAGGTGGGAGGCATGATCCCCGAGACGCTTCGCTGGGGTCTTCCTAACATGCCCTCACTGTGTGTCACCCTGGCAGAGCAGGGGGCCGTGTCTGGGGTGAAGTTTACCCACGTGCAAAAAAAATAAAAGAAAAAAAGAAAAAAGAAATGCTGTGTAAAAAGCTCTGGCAGGGCGGGGGGAGGGGGGCCAGGGCGGGGGCCGGGGCTGGGGCCGGGGAGGGGAGAGTGTCCCTGCAGGGTTAATCACAGCCTGAGAGCAATGGCGGGCACGGGAAACCGCCTCCCCTTCCGTAGGAACCATAAACACTTGTGCCGACGAGATGGGCATTTGATAAGCAGGGCGCAGGCACAGAGCACTCTCGCGGGCTCCTGTTAACACTCAGACCCAGTGTTAAGACTTAATAGAACACTGTGCCGTCCTGTTGCCAAGGTCAACAGCACAGATGCACTAATTGTATTATGAGCTTGACACCCACTGGCCACGGTGCAGGGCAGAGCAGGCAGAGGTTAAACCAGCAAGGCCTGTCAGAGCACGCAACTGCCCACCTCCCGGGCTCTGCTCCCAGCCCCGCATACACACAGGGGCACCCTCAGGAAAAAGACTTGGGGGGGGCTGGAAAAGGCAGCCCCCGAGGACTGAGGGACACCCAGCATGGCCCCTGGACCCCGGGACAAGGTTTCGGCCTGGATGACCTCCAACCCACAAGGCACTCCCCAATGACTTCACTACCTCAATGTTTTTGACATTTCCAGTATGGGATTGCCCTTATTTGCTTGAAAATCAGAGAGTTCAGTGCACTTTAAACCAGACAATTCACGTGCTGAAAGCACCAGAGGAAAAGCTTAGGGATGGTTAAAAAAAAAATAAAAAGGAAAAAAAAAGAAGTTTGTTTAAAGTTGACATAGAAACATTCCATTTCGACACAGATATGATGCGCTTTGAAACCTGCATCCGCTTAATACAGACGCCCCCCACCCTGGCAGGCCAAGTCTCACCTCCTCCGTGCAACCAAGGCATGTGTGTTTTTACTCGGGCAGCTTGTCAAGAGATCACACAGGAAACAAACAACAAAACCCCTCCCGCCATAAGCATTATTCAAAACCGACCCTTCTCTCAGTCTTAAAGGATGCTACATAATCTCATTAGCACTTAAGGGGATTTTTGTTTTACCAAAATAAAAGGCTGTGCCAACACTTCCATCTAGGAATGCAGAATTTCAGCAGGCGGTCAGCGCTGACCAGAAAAACTGGCGGCATCTTTCCTGAATCGCCCCCACCACCAAGGACTGTTCTTGGAACTACCTTGGGAGGGAGGTAAAACCTCCTTCGAGGTTGCAGGGCAGAGGAAACCTGACCCACTTTAGCCATCCTCTCCCACACAGAAAACAATCAGCTTGCTAAGTAATTCCTGCTGTTGGCCCTACCTTCTTCTTTTTCTGGCTCCGAACACATCTAACGATATTGGATTCTGCAGATGTTGTGGAAGTTGGAAATGTACATAAAACCCCTAATTGTTCCATGATCAGCTCTTTCAGTGCAAGGGAGGGGTTTATTGGCCTTTTTGGTTGACCACCAATTCACGTCCCTTTCAACAGATTAAATTTTAAATGTTGTTTTTTTGGACATTTGCAAATTCTTCTTTCCCTTCCATCCGCCCCCCCCCCCCCGCCTCCCACCCTACCCCCTTACTTTTTACCTTTCCTGTTTCAGGGAAAACACTCAGCCTGGATGTTAGCAAGTGGCTCCCGCATTGTTTCCGTGTGGAATGCCGATTGTCAGGGTGGGCACAGTGCGGACGCAGGCTAACAGATGAAAGAGAAAGCACGCACTCGCTGCCCGCCTTCCTCCCTCTAAACACAGCCTGGGACCGGTACATTCTTACATCACATGCTCACCACATTTCCACGGAGCTCTGAGATAACCACAGGACTGTAGGTCGGAAGAAAATGAAAACACACTTCGGGCAATTAGTGCTAGCACAGAAACAGGGAATGGGAGTTGTTTAAATGATAATATCCTTTTGTTCCTCCCCAAATGCACACTTTCTCTCCGAGGACAACAGAATACGTCCCCACTAAGTTGTATTTTGCCTGATAAAGGACAGCAAAGCTGCACCTTTCAAAGTCCCTGGAAGGAGCATAGCTGCTGCTCTGCCCTGGGAAGTTAGAATCAATTTTCTTCAGAACAAAACTGTTTGATTAGCTCAAAGGATCTCATTATCTGTGGCATACATTATCTGAGTTTTCAAGCCCTGCCACACTTGTTTCAAAATTTTCAGAAGCAAGAGTAATTAATTTGCATTTTCAAAAGGTAGTTCCTCACGGTTTGTCTTGGGCACCCTTAAAATAATTTTTGACAACAAAATAGCTTTAGAACTTTCTGTAAAACCATTAGCACATTTTTTTCTCCTCCTAAAGACATCATCATACTTCATCGTGTAAATGATAGGGGCGACTGTCCCTGGGGTTATTTCGGGGGAGTGATTTTTTTAATCGCTCGCCCGAAAACCAGTCTGAAAAATATAGCCATCTTGCTTTCATCTTTTCACTGTAGATTAATGTGGTGGTGCCTTTGTCCCCCCTCCCCAGCCCACAGCATTCTAAAATTTTTGCACATTTGTTTTTCACAACCATTTTACTGCCTGCCAACGTTCCCCGCTTTAATTAATATGTCACGCCCGAAGAGATACAAAGGAATTATTTACTTCATTTCTAAAACCTTGTAAACTAAAGCACAACTCACTTGTAACTTCACACACTGTGGGATAATTTCCACTGCACCTAACAAAATAAAAAATTTAAGAACCTCTGATTCACGTGGGAGCGATCTGGTTTTCACCACCATGCATCTTAAATATATAAATATATATATACACAAACACACACATATATATACATACGTACACACACACACACATCTCTACCCCATTTCGCTCTGTCCCCAGCGGGGAGCGGGGCCGGGGCCCCACGCACAGGCTCACTCGCTTCTACGCTCCGGGAACATGCAGGCACGGGAGGATGCAATCGGAAAGAACTATTTCCGAAGACTTTTGCCCGAACCGGCCTCGAAACAGAGCTGTCGGCGCGGGCTCGGCCGGCCGCGGGAAACTTTCCCGGCCGCGTCGGCGCGCGTCTGGCTCGGGCGAGAGGCCGGGCTCTCCCCGCGCTCCCCGGCGCGGCTGCGGGCCCGGGCGGCGGCGCTCAGCGCGCCCGCCGTGGAATCCAAAATGAATAGCAGTGCCCCCTCGTTAGGCGCGGAACCCGGGCTTTTCTCTATTAATTAAAATATGCTTTAGTGAAAGGAGACGCGGCACGTCGGGACGCGGACCACAAAGCCGAGAAGTATTTACATTGTTGCATTTGGGCGGCGCTGGAAGCCCGCTCCGCGCTATTCAGCACCCACAAGAATAACGCTTTAAGATTCCTCGCTGGGACGCAATGTCGTTCTTTAGAAGGGAGACTGTCTTTCTCATTCGGCAGAAATAAATCCATTCATTTGATCATGTAGTCATTGAGGGCGATACAAAACAAACCAAGTGTGAGAAATTCTATGTGATGAAGTAAACAAAACCCCCAAAAATCCATTTCCATGACAAAAAGCGCCTTTGTCCCTAATCTCCCCACCATATGCGAGCTCTCCTTCCCCGCTCACCCCGGTTCTCATCCTGGGGGACCGGCTCCGCGGGGGGGACCGCGCGCCCGCCCCGGCCCCGGCGCGCCCGGCCGCGCCGCAAACTTCCCGCACCGGGTCCCGCTCGCGCCCGCGGCCCGGCCCGGCCCGGGGCCGCGTCCTCCGCCCGCGCCGGACCCGCGGCCGCCCGGGGCCGCGGCGCCCGGGCCCGGCGAGGGCAGGACGCGCCGCCGCGTGCGGGGGGCCCCCGCGCGCCGGGCCCGGGGGAGGGGGCGTCCCCCGGCGGCCATGAAGCCCGGCCCGGGCGCCGCGTCCCCTCGCCCGGAGGCGGCGCCGGGTCCGGGAGGCGAGCGGCCGCCCGGGGCGCCGAACAAAGCTGCCCGGCGGCCGCGGGTCACCGGCGCGCGCGGCCGCCGGCCCGGGGGCGGCGCGGAGGCGGCGGCCCCCGCCCCCGCGGCCCGCCCGCCCCCGGCCCGAGCCGCCGCGCCAAGTTCTCCGCGCGCCCGCGGCGGGCCGGTCCCCGCGCGCGGAACTTTCTCCCCGCGCGCCCGCGGCCCTCACCGTGCTCCGGAGCCCCGTCCGGCGGCGGCAGCTCCTCGTCCGACCTGAGGTGCTGGGGCTTGGCCTGCTTGCGCCGAGACATGCTGCTAGCGGGGCCGCGGCATCGGCGGGGCGGCCGGCGGCGACGGCGCGGGGCGCGGGGCGCGGGGCGCGGGGCGCGGGCGGCGGCGGCGGCTGCGCGGGCCGCGCATGGGGCCGAGCAATTAGGCGGGTGAATAATGCGCGGCCATTAGCCCGGGCGCGCCGATTGGCCGCTCTCCAGCGGACCCGGCGCTATGCAAATGAGGCCGCGCCGGCAATTAGCGGCCGCGCGGGGCAGGAGGGGCCGGCGGCGCCCGCGGACGGGGCGCGCGCGGCCGCCCGGCGCCGCCTCGCATCGCGCGCGGCGCCCGCGTCCGGCGCCCGCGGCTCGGCCTGGCTGCGGCGCGGCGGGCCGGTGCGGGGCCGCGGCGGCCGCCGAGCCGGGCGCACGCGGCAAACTTTGGCGGCGTCTCCGCCGGCGCGCCGGGCTCGCCCCTTTATAGCGCGTGTGCGCCGCCGCCGCCGCCCGCGCCCCGCGCGCGCCCCCCCCGCCGCCGCCGCCGCCCCTCCCGGAGCGGGCAGGGCTCCGGCCCGGCGCCTTTGTCTCCCGGCCGCCCGGCCGCCGCGCCGCGCCGCGCCGCCGCGCTCCGGGGCGCGGGGACCCGCGGCCGCCCGGGTCCTCGGCGGCGGTGGCGGCGCCGCGCCTCGCGCTCAGGTGCCCGGGCCTCCGGCCCTGCGCCCGGCTCGGGCCCCGCGCGGGCGGCCGGCGGCTCGGAGGCTCGCGGCCGGAGCGGAGCGGAGCCGAGTGCGCACGCCGGGGTGGCGGGACTTCGGCAAGAACAACTTTCCGGTTCGGAAGCGGCGCGGGCCGCGCGGCTCCTCCTCCCCTCGCTCGCTCGCTCCCTCCCTCCCTCCCTCCCTCCCCTCCCGCGCCCCCTCCCCTCCCCCGGGCCCCGCGACTCCGGAGGGGCCGCCCCGCCCGCCGCCGCCCCCGGCCGCCTCGGCCCCTCCGCCCGCCCGCTCGCCCGCCACCCGCGGCTCCTTAAATCCCGCGGCCGGGCGGGGACGGCGGGGCCGGCGGGGCCGGCGCGCTCCCACCCAGCCCCCTTCCGGGCCGGGCACTGCCCGGCGCCGACCCGGGCCCCGGCCGCGCCACGCCAAGTTCCTTAGCCCGCCGAGTCCCCGGCGCGCCCGCCGCCTTCTAGGACTTTCCGCGGAGGCAGTGGGGGCAGGTGAGGGGGTCGCGCCCGCGCCCCGCCGCCGCGCACCCTCGCGCCCCGCGCGCCCCGCACGCGCACCACCCGCCGCGCGCGGCCGCACGCACGCGCCCCGGGCCCCGCGCGCCCGCGCCCGCGCGCCCGCGTCCACCCCGCGCACTCCCCCCGCGCGTGTCCTCCGCCCCGAGCGGCCACCGGCGCGGCCCTGCCCCGCCGCCCTCGCCGCGCGCGGCCCCTCGCCAGGACGCCGGTGCTCAGCCCCTAAAAGTGCGCGCTCGGCTCGCGCCGCGCGAGCCGGGTACCCGAGGTCTCGGGTCGTGGGCTGGGGTGGGGGGCGAGGAGGGACCTCGAGCCCGCGCCGCCCGCCTGGCTCCGGCTGGGCCGCTGGTTCCTTCCAGAATCTTCCCGCTTCCCAGCCCGCGTCCTCCCTCCCGCCTGCAATTGTGTAAGTTTCCTGAAGGCAGAGCTTCGGGCTCCGCAGGGAAAGCGCGGAGGGGCGACGCCCCCGGCGGGAGTCGTGACCCCGGCCCCCCGCCGCCGCTGCGGCCCCTTGCCCCCGGCCCAGATTTGTCTCGCCCTCGGTGGCGGACGGTCTCATTGAGGCGATTTTGGTTTTGAAAAGAAAAGGTGTGGGAGAAAAAGACGCGGGGAGCCGCGCGCGCCGCGCCCGGGGCGCTGTCACCTTTGGCCCGGCAGGACCTGCCGCGGGGCCCGAGCGTGTGCTGCCCTCGGGCGTTTGTGGGGCGCCCACCCTCGCGCCCGGCGGACGGGCGGCGGCCCGGCTGAGCGCGAGCTGGGCCTGGGCCGCGCTGGGGCCGAGAGGGGCTCGCGGGGCGCAGCGGGCCGGGGCGGTGGCCGGCGCGGGCTTGGCGGGACTCTCGGGCCACCGGGAGTTTGGGGAAGTTTCCGAGCCGCGGGACTTGGTCTCCGAGGGACGCGGCGGCCCGTGCGTGTGCGGCGGCCGGGCTGAGGGTTCCAGGTGGCTGGTTCTTAGTGATTTGCCTAATTCTCTTTTCTTCTTCATCTTTCCCCATCGACTGCGGGGAGAAGACACCGCCGCCGCCCCAGCTCCCGCGCGGCCCCGAGCCCTGGGAGGGAGCCGAGCCGCGCTCGCCCGCGGCCCCTTCTCGCCCGCCGTCTCCGACCCCGAGGCCCACGGCGCGCGCCAGCCACTCTCCGACACGCCGGCCCCAGTTCCCCGTGGGATCCCCCGTGCCGCCGCCTCTGTCCACTTGTTGGGCGGTGCTTTCGGCGCGAAGCGCTCCGGGGGGACCCTGGGAGGATCCTCCTCGGCCGGAGACCGGGAGATCCCAGGCTTCTGCGCAGAGGCAGCCCCGGGCGTTCCGCAGGGATCCGGAGCGGGTCGCGCCGCAGACTGGGCCGGGGCTGCTGCGGCCGTCGCGTGGACGCGGTCTGGGCCGGGCCGGGGCCCCGCGGAGGTGCCAGGCACGCACGGCGGGGGGGATTTCGTTAGGGAAACGGGGCCCAGCCCGGGACGCGCCGGTCGCCGAGGGCTCGGCCCTGGACCCTGCGGAGAGTCCAGCTCCGCGCCTCTCAGATGCCTCCTTGGAAAAGGCCCCGGGAAGGCCCGATCGATGGGAAAGCGCGGGTCCGACGGCAGCCGCGGTTCCTCCACGGCACCTGCGCGCCCCGCCCGCCTCTCCGAGGAGCCCGGAAACTTTTCTAATTGTTTTAAGGCGACGCCGAAGCGTTCCGGAACGCTCGGCCCTGCCCGAGATTTATTGCGAAGAGGTGACAGCGGCTCTGCAGGCCGGTGCGTCCGCCGGGGACGCGGCGTCTTCTCGGGCGCCCGGAGTGGAGCGGCCCGGCGCACGCACGCACGTGGGAGCGCGCCCGCGTCACGTGGGCACCGCCACCGAACATCCGCACACCTCGACGCTGTTGCCCAGCAAAAGTTGCTCTTCTTCCCTGTAATTAAATCTAATTTAATTGTCTTCCCTCCTGCACCGTTGTTTTCATCGAAAGAAGCGGCACGTTATTATTCTGTCTGCTTGATAATAATATTTACAAATTAATACTGTATATTTTGCATTAGTGGAACGTATAATTAGGTGTTTGATTTAATTTGTATCATTTATTCAGATAAAACAGAAAGCCTATCTCCGAGATTGATTGGCCGAGAGTGCTTGCGGATGTCCCGCACCTGCGGAGAGGGGTCCGAGAGGAGCGGGTGGAGCGCCTCTCCAGCCTGCCCTGCGCGCAGAAGGCCGGGCCGCAGCCGGCTGTGTTTCTCCCCGCGAGTCACAGCTTCTCCTCCCCCCTCGGGCTGGTCCCACCCCAACTTGTGTTTTAGGGCTCCCCGTTCAATCCAGCATGATTTCGTGCCTGTAATGCTGTGACAAGTGACCGCTAATTGGTTCTCACTTGAGCAGAGATATTACCATACTAATATTATTATTGGTAAGAAGAGGTAATTGATAGCGTCACCTGCCACTCCGGCAATCACGGTGATGAATGTTCCCATCCGCGGAAGGCTCTGCCTGCGTGCCCAACCCAAACGGCCCGGCCAGTGCCAATTAGGGGGAAGCCGTTCCCAGCCCGCGGGGGGCGGGGGCGCTCGCAAGCCGCAGCCCAAGAGGGCATTAATGGGTTTTTGGAAACGCTCTGGCCAAGCGCCGCCGTTCTCTCGGAGATAACTTCCCCTGTCAAAAGTAGCAGGGCACGACGCAGGTGAGGCGTCACCGGCCCTCCCGAGTCCCAGGCACCCCTGCCTGTCACCGCAGGGCCAACGGAGCTGTCCAGATAACTGTCTACGGTCGGCCTAGGGAGGAGCCGGCGCGTGGGGGCGGGGGCTGCGGAGGGGGGCTCCCCGTCCGGGCTCCCCCCACAGTCCCCTCCGAGAAACTCCGGCCCACACACCTCAGTCTTCACACTTCCCGACCGCGGCCGAGCCCGCGTCCGGCCCGTGTGGACCGAGCCCGCGTCCGTGGCTATGATTACATAAATAATGCGGCCAGCTACAACTTTGACTCCTTGCCTATAGGGAGGCCCCAACGATTATTATTAGCTTGCATTAATAGATGCAGGCCTCAAAAGGCGAATCAGCTATTGATAATTGCAAGAAGTATACCGCAGCTACTGTATCGATCGGCTTGTCCCTATTCCCCTGGTATGGGAGAGATAAGAAGACTCAGTCTTTAGTGCAATATAATTTCTTTTGACCTATCTGCTTGCTACAGACTTATGATGAATAGCCAGAGTGGTTAAAGTCCTTTATCACCAAAGTTACCCCTTGATATAATATTGATTCTTTATAACTAGCTCCAAACACAAAAATCAAACTGTCCACTTGACCATCATCATCATCAATATCATCACAAAGCCTCCGGAATAAAGATCAGCGCCAGCCTGGAAACGCTTTCTATAATCTGCCCGGCTAATCTTTATTTGCTGATGATGAAAAGAAAAAGAGGGGGTGTCCGGAGGGAGGCGCGGAATGTCATTTGGACGAGCCCATATTTCTACGCGCACGTGTGGGGGGGCGGGGCGAGGCGGCCCCGGCCTCGGGGGCTCGCGGCCGGCCCGGAGACCCCCGCCCCAGCCCGGCGGGATCCAGGTGGGAGGGCCAGCGCGTGGGGAGGGGGCAGGCGGCGGCGCCCCACCCCGGCTCGCTGCGCCCCGGAGATCGATGCGCGCGTCCTTGGCCGGGGCTCCGGGAGCGCGGGCGGCGGGCGGCGCACCCCGGGTGGGCTCGCGGGGGTGGGCAGCTCGCCCCGGGCGCACATCAAAGGCGGCCGCGCAATCCGGGCGCATTTCCCCCAATTAGCGGCGCTTCCTGCCCCCCGCAGGCCCGGCCGCCCGAGCCCGGGCGCGCGTCCGTCCCCGCGAGCGCGTGAGGGCGGGGGCGCCACGGCGCGAGGCTCCGGCCAGGCCGAGGTCCGAGCCCAGGAGGGAGGACAGAGAGAGGCCTTGGGTGCTGCGGGCGGAGACTTGCGGCCTCCGGGGCCCGCGTCTGCACCCTTACCCCTGGAGCGCCCCCTGGAGCCAAGGGAGGGCGAAAGACCGCCGGAGGGGGGCCCCAGGGCCCGGGTAGTGGGGGCGGGCGGGAGGGACAGGGGAGGGGGGAGGGGAGTGGGGAGGAGGAGGGAGGAGGAGGGGAGAGGAGAGAGAGAAGAGGGGAAGGGGGAGGGGCGAGGACAGGGTTGGGCAGAGGGGCGGTGGGGGGAGGGCAGAGAGCCCGCACTCTGAGGCCAAGTTGTGGAGCTCAGAGTGGGTCAGAAGCAGTCCCAGCATGGAGAGTGGGCAGAGCCGAGAAGTGGCTTTTGGGGAGTCCTGGGAAGGGTTCCCCGTTGCTCATGTGCTGGGCTGGGGGAGCTGGCCGACGGTGGTCTCTGCAGAGCCCCCACTTCC